AAAGACTTCAATCAAGGATTTCCATGGTTTTTCAGCAGCAATGGCAACCCTATTTGCAACCCCCATCCCCACAATTCCCTGCCGCCCCCTTTTCTCTCAGTGACCCCTGCTGTTCTTTTTCCTCTCAGTGACCCCCTGGAGCTTTCCAATGCCCCCAGGGGGCGCTACCACCCACTTCAGGGACCACTGTGTTGGCCAATTGCCTCCAACAAGCTGGGTACTCATTTTACCGACCTACGTAAGGATGGAAGGCTGAGTCAACCTTGGAGCCCTGGGATCAAACTCACAACATTGTAGCTGCAGTACCAGCATTTAACTACTGCGCCACTGGGGTTTCTTCTACATGTACACCCTGCCCTCCGCAGTCACAGCCTTGACACTCATGGATTTGCGCACACTCCTCCTCCTCCTCCTCCCTCCCAGGCTTTTTTTTTTTTCCTCAGGGGAAAAAGCCCAGGAGGAAGAAACTAGGAAGGGTGTGAGTACCAACCCCATAAGTGAGTAAGGCTGGCACCTATCCACCCAGGAAAGGGGAGGGAATGTATCCATCCTTCCAAGCTGATTTCCCAGGTGGATGGGTGCCTGCCTTGCCCAGACATCCATTTGCTTGGGAAAAAGCCTTGGAAGGGATGTATCCATCCCCTCCCCTTTCCCAGGTGGATCAGTGCCTGAGCAAGGCAGGCATCCATCCCCTCCTCTTTCCCAGGCCAATAGGTGCCTGCCTTGCTCAGTCACCGATCCCCCCGGGAAAGGTTGGCATGCATCCACCTGGGAATGGGGCAGTGAACCAGTTAAAGGGACAGGAGTGCAGGTGGAAATGAGGAACGCACACACCCCTCTTCCCCCCCACCCCTCCTTTTAATTGGTTTCCATAGGATGGATGGAAGGTATTCTTATTTTTTCACATTCCACATTCACGGGAGTCTTGTGTCCTAACCTTCTTGAATATGAAAGGCCAAGTGTAATCTCAATTTTCAAACCCAATTGTCATCAATTCATTTCCATTCTTCCCCAAAAAGTCTATCAAAAGTTTTCCAATCTTTTAAGAATGTTACTAAAGATTTTTTTCTCTTACCAGCACAGTTAATTTATCCATTTCTGCTAACTCATTCACTTTTTAAAAAAACATTCTGTACTCTTCCATGCAACCATCCTGCTGCCATGGTCACCTACTGCATTATTCTCCCACAATCCTTTTCCAATTGTTCCTCCATAAGTCCCAAGAAAAACAATTGTGGTTCTAACTATATGTTAATCTTTAAAATTATCTGCATAAAACTATTATTTGCCTAGGTTTTCCTTTTTCATAGGAAGCTTCTTTTAATAATTTGCTTGACACTGTCATGCCCAGCCTGGCTAAGGATTCAAGGGAGGAGTCTGACTCTGAGCCTGAGTCTGAGCCTGGCCCTAGTTCTGCCCTGACAATACCACCAGAAACTGCTGCCCAAGAGGACGATCAGGAGTCCAGCGTCCAGGCAGAAAAGCCCCCTGGCAATGTTGGCATGGAGGAGGAGAAGACAGAGGCCAACGTACCCATGCCTTTCTAAAGCCAGAGATCTGAAAAGCTGGGGCTGCGGTGGTCTCAGAGGCTTTGTATGAGATGCCAAGCAATTAAGGAACTGCTGCACTAGTGAGGGGTGAAGATGATAGCCTGGGAGGAATGGCAGAACCTTTGTGAGATGTTAACTAATTCCCCTGGCTAAAGCACCTTGTTCATGAACTCTCTTCTTCAACTTCTTGGCTTGGACCTGTGGATCTTTGACTGACCATTCTGTTTTGCTGGAACATTTCACCCTTTTTTGGACTTCTTGATTACGCTGACTGTTTGACCCTTTGGCTTGAACCCAGCCTGGCTACAGACATTGTTTTTGGAACTCTACATCTTGCTTTCCCTTGTTTAAGTCTGTAGTCTAAGACTTGCTGTATTACAGACATTGTGTTGTGCTGTTTTGCTTGTCTTTTCATTATTTTGGTTTTGTTATCAGCTGCTGGCTAATTTCCAGGACTGACACTGCAGTGTAGGCATGCTGGTACTTATAATTTTCCATAGTTTGTGTAAATAACCTTCCACATGAAATTACTCCAAATCTGGGACAAGCCATCTTTCCTCTCCATTATCCACACCAGGAAGTTTCACCCAAACAAACTGCTTGGCCTGTATCTTTAGTGAAATTATAATTTTATCTATGGTTATAACTTATACATCAAGTCTCTTTCTGACATGCATACCAAATATGAGAGAGAGAGAACTTCCGATAAGGAGGGAGAAATTAAAGCCCTATTTCTGGTGAGGCATCATCTGGAAAACTGTGACAACTTATGGCCCAGTATCTATGAAAACTGAGTTTCTGCACAAAGCTACACTCATAAGAAAAGAATGAAAGATTACAGAAAGAGTGAACTTTGAGCAGAAATGACAATTAAAAGGTTATCTTAGGAAGGCAAAAAGGTTGGCAAAGCATTGTTAAATGCTAAGATTCTATTAAAAATTATTTGGGTGAGCTAATTTAGGTTAAGGAAAACATAAGACAAAAATATATTAATAAAGGCTATTTAATTAAATTAAAGCTCTGTCATAGACAAGCAAAATATGGACTTCATGATACCAAGAGTGACTTAGAAGTATGCACATGTCCCCAAATTACTTTAGAACCCCCATTTTAAAAGAAGAAACCCCATTCCAAAAACCACCACCACGAAACTCTAGACCAGGGGTAGGCAACCTTTGCCCTTTAAGGGCTGAAGGACTTCAGAAACCTCAGCCATGTTGGCCAATAGTCCCATGTTGGCCAATAACTCCTGGAATTCTGGGAGCTGAAGTCCTTCGGCCCTTAAAAGGGAAAGGTTGCCTACCCCTGCTCTAGACAATTATTTTTCTAAAATACCATGAGTTAGTTTAATCTGTAGGAGAATATTAAACTGCTTTAGGGGAATGGGGTCTTAGTGACTATCTAGATTTTTTCCAGTTCTATTATTAAGTATTACATTCTGCTCTATGTTGTACACTTGCAAAAATGACAGATAGGCCCAAGGCAACCTTAGCTTAGTTCCTGAGGGATGGCACTATTGTCACCATATTTGTGCCTGCTGAAACATAATCTACAACGTCATTTGGGGGATTGTGTCTTGAAAGAACCAACAGTTCTCTTCACAGCAGAAAGTATACTGTCATGACAACAGGGATTTGAAGAGGAAACGTGGATTGTATCTTAGTCAAAAGATGAACATTGCGGGGTGAAAAACAACTTTCAATTCCAACATTTATCAAGTAATGAAAAAAGCTCCTTTAAGGAAAAGAGTACAGTATGAGACAAACAGAATGTTGGAAAGGAGGAAATACCTAGGAAGTGCTTTTCTTGGAATTCCAACAGTAAAAAGAGCCTCTATACAGCAGAATGAAAACTTTCCTATCCCATTCAGGCATATCTCATAACATGTTTGTTTGACAGTCACAATGTCATAATTTTAGATGGCTGAACCTCTGCTCTAGGGTTTATAAGAGATCAAGTACTTGTCACTCTCAGGACCGGTATAGTGATATAGAGTGGCTGAACAGTCCATTTTTCTTTATAATTACACTCCATTAACCTCCTACATGAGAGTTCCCTTGTGCTTTCGTACCAACAGCACCAACTGTCTATGATAAAGCTCTACAGAGTCTGCCAGACCAGCAACTGTAACAAAAAGAAACACCTTAATATTTCAGGCTCAAGCATAAGCTAAACACAGCTCTGTTACTTAACAGCAAACATACATAGCTCAATTATGCAAGACTTAATGGCCAGTTCCCTCTCCTCAACTTTCCTAAAATTCAAGTAAACAAACATGAAAAACAGATGTACAGCTTTCAACTGAGATATTACTCATCATATTGAAATGCAGATTGACTGTGCCTTCTCTTCATTGTAAAAACTTCCCAACAAAAGAGAATCCATCAGTGCAATATATTCAAGAAAGCACTAGTGATTTGGCTGATATTAAAGCTAACCCTTCAATCAGAATACAAAAAGGCAAAGTTTTTTTAAATTGTCTCCTCCTATGCTCTTCCCAGTAAAAAAAAAAAAATTAAATAAAAATAAACTGGTTAATAGCATGAGATCTATCTATATCCTTTTCAACAAGAGTATACCAGTGACAAATGATTCTTAAAGATGCTTCAATTAATAAAGTATCCTCTAAATTCTTAGCTCTATGCCAGGAATGCTATTTTCCCTGATGATCATTATGCTACAATAATGAGAAATGCTGATCCCTTCAGATTTCAGTTTCTAAAAACAGAATTCAGTTTCTTAAAAAAAGTGAAGAACTGACATTTCAGACAAAGTAATCTAGAATATAAACCAAGTTATTATTTTTTAAAGAAATGCTGCATTAGATTAATACAAACCACATCAGAAATGTGAGCAAACTTCTCTACTTCTTACATGCTTGCTAAAGTGCCACAATGCCATGGCTGGTTTTGTAGTATTTTGCGGTTGCTGTGCTGAGCTACCAATTCATTCTGTTGCTAAGGGGCGAAGACATTGGTTCTATCTATTTCCATGCACTGCTGCGGTGTTTTGTCACCAGCTCTTGGTTCTTTGCTTATTGGAACAGAGAATTCATTTTGTTTCCACAGTTTTTCAATGATAAGTCTTATGATAAAGAGTGCTTTTATTAATTCTCAACTATGTAAACTTGTCTATTCTTTCAATGTATTATTACACATAAAACACATGGAGGGGGGACAACCTTGACAACATCTTAAAACAAGGATTCGTTGTACATACACAGACACAACAAATGGCAAGTATTTAATTTTTTAAGCAATTTTTTAGCAGAGAGACAAGCAATCTTGCAGTTGAGTATCTCACAACATGGTGTAATGTCTTTGTCTAGTGTCATTTAAAAAAAAAAGCTTCTGTTTCCATAAAAATTACTTTCCAACATTCTGGTACACTAACATAAACCACCAACTCCCACCACCTCAAGCTACTTACTGTGCAGAGGTGGCTTGAAAAGCCATTGTGGTGTAGTGGTTTGAGTGTTGGGCTACAACTCTGGAGACCAGGGTTCAATTCCCAGCTCAGCCATGAAACCCACTGAGTGATCTTGGGCAAGTCACACGCTCTCAACCTCAGGGGAAAGCAACAGCAAACCTCCTCTGAACAAGTCTTTCCAAGAAAACCCTATGATTTCAGACTTAGGGTTGCCCACACCTCTCTCTCTCTCTCTCTCTCTCACACACACACACACACACACACACAGAGGAGTAGGTTTAATTCTGAAAGGCTTCTATGGAGGAGATAAACACAAGTCCAAATAGTGTCCCCAATACACTCCATAAATTTCTTCCAAGCATGCAAGCCACAGGCTGGTCCTTCTTATGAAAATAATGCTACCCACAAGGTACTGACAGTAAGTACAAAACCTCTCTGACTCAGAACCTAGGAACCATGAGAGCTATGGTCTCCTACATATGACCAGCTGTTTCTTAAATTGTCATTACAAGCTCTCCTGTAGCCCCCCCTTCTTTCTGGGGGTTAGCTGACTGAAGATAGGGTATTATTAAAGGGTGGCACATTATATAAAAAACAACAGTATTTCAGTTTTTTAAATAACAAAAATATGTCTTGAAAGTGGGTGGTCACACAATGATCAAATGTACTTGAAAGGCAGGCCTTTCCAGATTAATTCTCCTGGCCTTGGTTTCTCCCCCCGTGGCCCCATCAATTGCTGATGGATGGGGAACGCAGTTGAGTCGAATCAGGGCATTTTTATATTTTTATATTTTCATGTTTGTTTTATTTGTGTTGGAATGTTTATATTCCTGTTTTAATCATCTTGCCATTTAATACTGTTTTAAGGGGGTGGGTTGGGGTATGAATTTTGTTGTATGGGGTTTTAACTGATGTAAGCCGCTTAGATTGTCTTCATTTAAGCGGGGTATAAATAATTTTTTAAATTATTATCATTATTATTATTATTATTGACTGGATAAGCCACAGGTCTTTAGGAACCATGGTTTATTCTATACATGTAGTCTGTTGAAGCACATTGTTCAATTACTACTGCTTGCAATGGCAATGGCTTAACAGATCACACTGCCAAGGCTCTGTAATTTACTTATGATGTATTGATATGGGCATCAACCCGCCTTTTGTTTCTCTTCCAACAGATGAGAGGCAGAGCTCAGATTTGTTCTTGCTTTGCTACTTGGGTTTGTTGGGATGGAAATAAACTGGAGGAGGAAGTGGGCCTGCATTTCCATGATACAGTAAACAAAGTAGGAACAATGATCCATGGCTTGTTTAGCCATTCCTGGTGTGACTAAGGGCCTTTACAGACTGCCAGAAATAATGCAGCTTGAGGCCACTTTAACTGTCCTGGCTGAGTGCTAGGGAACCATGGGAACTGTAGTTTATTGTGGCAACAGAGCTCTCTGACAGAGAAGGCTCAATGTCTCAAAAAAAACCTACAGTTCCCATGATTCCCTAGCACTGAGCCAGGACAGTTAAAGTGGCCTCAAGCTGCATTATTTCTGGCAGTCTGTAAAGGCCCTATGTGTGAATAACTCCGCTCATAGATGACAAACCAGAGTTCCCAAAAGATCCTTAGATTGGCAATTTCTGTCATGCAAAATCACCCAGTGTCTGCCTGTAATAACGTAATGCCCTCCTTCCAAATACATTCCCACTGACAGTAAGTACAGGTTGAGTTTCCCTTATCTGAAATGCTTGGGACCAAGAGTGTTTTGGCTTTGTTTTTGTTTTTTTTCTGGATTTTGGAATATTTACATATACATAATGAGATATTCTGGAGATGGTACCCAAGTCTAAACATTAAATTCATTTATGTTTCGTATATACCTTATACATATAGTGTGACAGTAATTTTCTACAAAATATTTTAAATAATTTTGTGCATGAAACAAAGTTTGTGTACACTGAACCATCTGAAAACAAAGGTACCACTATCTCAACCACCTGTGTGGACAATTTTGGATTTCAGAATTCCGTTTATGGGAGACTCAACCTGTAACCAGTTTTCTTACTAGTGTTATGGTATTCTTATATTTTGTAGGGATCACCCTTCACTGCTTCTTCTAATCTTATTTCACATATACTTATAAAATATATGGTGAAATGTTTAAGGACTGGTAAATATTGAGCACGATAATTTACAGAAACCAAATTTAAGCCTGTAACAAACCCTAAGCACATGCATACACTTGTTTCACTATTATTCTTGCCACTGCTTCCTTCCTCTCAATTCATTTCAATTTTCTGATTGTAAGCTTTTTTCCCCCTTTACATAGCCTTGCTTTAATAGTAACACTTTGTAAAAATGGTTTGGTTACATTGCTTGCATCAAACATATGACTCCCACACCTGCTTTCAACTGGTTTTTGGATTCAGCATCCAAATGCAGGACTCTGGGAATTAGGATCCCAGTGTTGGAGGGAGATGCAAGTCATAACTGAAAATAGACTAAAAAGTAGAGAAAATGCCAGGTTGACTTGAAACAAAAGGCTTTTCTGTGATTAAAACAGCAATATAATATTGTTAAATTAAGTAAAAATGTAAATGTCATGCCGTTTTTTGAGCCACACAGAAGCAATTCTAGCTAAGAAAACCAGTATATCTGGATTGCCCCAAGATAATTCTATCACAAAATTAAAAGGTTTCTATACTTATTCATTTTGTTGGCTGTGCTTGCCTTTTTATTGATGTGCAAGTTGTTTAGAATTATGTTTTCTTACCCCATATTAGCAATTCACTCTGAGGCACAAAGGCAGCTAAGTCAGTCAGTATTTAGTGATGAGTTTCAGAAATTCTTTGTCATGGAGACCAGGCATTAATATTCCTGAAATACTGCTGAATGCACATCCCTATACAGAAAATGCAAAGTTGTACAAAATCTTGTAATGACATCTGTCAGATGGAGAGTCTCCTAAATAATTACATTTTTAAAAATGATTTCTAGTTATTAAACAGAAACTGTGAACAGGCTTCTAATGCAAAAGCTACAAGGAATGGATAAAAATTACCCAAAACCATTTAACTCACAACAGTGGAACTTGCTTGTACTTCTTATTTGCAGAATAGCATACTTAGAATACTTTAAACTGATAATAAAACAAGTTTCTGGGTTAGGTGAACAGCCCAATCCACAAGCCAGAACCACACAAAGAAAAACAACAACACCTATTTACACCCACAAATTTGGCTTTCTATTTACTTGGAGGGCAGTGTTAAAAAATATGTAGTTGCCAAGTTCTTTTAATATTGTATTTCATGACAATAGTGAAGTAGTAGAAATGTTTCAATCTGGATCTTTACAGGAGCTGCCATTCATACATGCACTGTTTGCATTCGGTTTGTAGTAACAAGGATGAAGGCCTCCAGTTTCTATGGTAACACAGATGACCACAATACAATATCTTTACAAATGTTCAAGTGTAACTTGAAGCAAGCAAGAATTTGCACTACTCTGCAAATCTAAAATACTAAACTTAAGAGCAACACCATGCCACAGTAGTACTGCAGAAATGCTATTGCATCATAACAACCAAATGATAAAAGGTGCTATTTTTACAATAAACATTAAAAGCCTTTAAAAAAAACTCTGACTAGTAATATAAAACACCAAACACATAAACATAACTTTATTCATCAACAGTATAATCCTGTTCACATTTTAGCAGACTAATGAGAGGACAGAATATTAATTGGAGGATAGGGTTTATCCCCCTTATCTTTAGGGAAAGAGAAAGATGTAAGGTAGGTGTCTTTCAGATGTTGCTGAACTGCAATTCCCAGCATTCCTCATCACTGGCTATACTTCAGATAACCTCAAGTCACACGTAACCTAGGTTTAAAACACACTGCAGAAATAATCCAGTTTGAGACTGCTTCAACTGCACTGGCTCAGTGCTAGGGAATCCTGGGAATTGTAGTTTATTGTGACACTAGAGTTCTCTGACAAAGAAGGGCTAAATATATCACAAAACAACAGTTCCCAGAATTTCCTAGTACTGAGCCAGGTCAGTGAAAGTAGTCCCAAACTGGATTATTTCTGCAGTGTGTTTTGGACGATAGTTAGGTGCAGTAGGTATAACCCTAATCAGTCACTACTGTAAGATTATTGATGGAAGACACCATTCTGTTAAGGCTGGCCATCACCTGTTAGTATTTTTGTTTGCCCTGCACACCTTTGCTCATGTCTAAAAAAGATGGAACTGGGATCAATGTCAAGCTTTCCCTTTTTTGAAACTTCATAGAAAGGCTTCACCATCTACTGTTTGCACATTCTGACATCCCAAGACATTATTCATGTTCTACTGTGCTGGTTTTCTGTATTCCTGCATTCTTTGAGTTTTATTATTTCTGATAATTTCCTTTCGAACAAAGTCACTAACTCAAACCAATCCTGAGTTGACAAATCACTGAGCTGCTGATCCCAGGATCTTTCCAGCAAACCTCATTATCTTGCCTTGCTATAAGTCTTAGCTCCTGCATCCAGGAATTTACTTCTAAAGAAATACTGTTGTATTTCTGTGTCTTATTCTAAGTTTACATGTTCCATTATCCTACGTGTACATACTTTTTGAGAAGCTACTTGGGACAGTATAATGTTCAAAACACCGTTGACAGCTCAGCTGTGATTTAAGCTGTGTTCGAAGGTCTTGGTCATTACTAAGAAAATGATTGTGTTTGCAAAGATCTTGTACAAATGCCAAGATGCTAGAAGGTTTAGGTCTACAAAGGTTCTGATTGGTTAACTATTTCTCTCTTGAACTATGACCAGTTTGTTCCTATAACAGTGAGTATAAAACTTCTTCATTGGCTCTGTATTGCTTGATCCTTCCCTTTTTGCAGATACCATGGTCTTGAATTTTACTTTGCTGGGGGTCCATATTTATGTGGTTGTGTATAAGACTTAGGGAATTGCACTTCTTTTTGACTGATATAATATCAGTCAAAAAGAAGTGCAATTCCCTAGGTCTTATACACAACCACATAAATATGGACCCCCAGCAAAGTAAAATTCAAGACCATGGTATCTTTATATATATATTCTTAAATGGTTG